ATGTTGTGTTTGATGAAAAAACATTACCCTATGTGTCTCTAAATAATTCTCATACTAACATTGATGTCTCACCTCACTTGGCTACTTTTGTTGAACCTTTCTCTAAAGTGCAAGCACATGATAATTCAGGGGAAGTATAGGCTGATAGTACACAAGTTACTGTGAAAATGATACAATAACAACCCATATACTCCTTGGTGATAAGAGTACTACTGACATCTCAGTTGCAGGATCAGATGATGATCATGAGGAACGGGTTGGCAGTGGTGATTCATACAGTAATATTAAAGCTCCAACTGCAGATTCAGATCCACTAGTGGTAGTAAGGAACATGTTGAACTTTCATGTCTAGTCAATGAACATAATCAACCCGATAATACTACACTTCAATCACCTATTTTGGTAATGTACCTGTTGACCATCAACTTGACGATACTGAACTCCAATCAACTACTTTAGTTTATGTATAGTTGAGGTACCTCCTACACCATAAGGGCATCATATGATCACCAGACACCAGGTGAATGAACATCATTTATCACTTGTTGCACGCAGCAACAAAGAAATTTTGAAGGAGCCTAATACTACTAAGGAAAAACTTAGGTCACCTCATTGGCTTACAGCAACGCAGGAGGAAATCAATGTCTTACATACAAACAAGACATGGATATTGGTGCCCAAATCTCCTGATATGAAGTTGGGTAGCTAAAAAGGAGTGTCCAAAATAAAATTAAAAGTCGACGGAACAATAGATAGATACAGGGCCAGACTTGTGGCAAGGGGATTCTCGCAGCTTGAAGGGATAGATTTTGAAGAAACATTTAGCCCTTTGGTTAAAGCAACAACTATTAGGGTGGTTTGTTCCATTATTATTAGTTCAAAGTGATAAGTTAGACAACTAGAAGTAAAAGATGCTTTTCTCCATGGTTTTCTACAAGAGGAGGTGTACATGAGTCAACAACCTAGATTTATTGATCCCAAGTATCCTTAGCATGTGCATCTACTTAAAAAGGCTATGTATGGTCCTAAACAAGCACCAAGAGCCTGGCTTGATAGGTTTAGCTTGCATATCTTACACCTTGGTTTTATCTGTAGTAAGGTTGATCCTTACTTATTTACTTTGCAATCTTACAAAGGCAAAATATTTCTCTTATTATATATCCAAGACCAATATGACTTTGGCAGACGGTAGCCACTCCTTTAGCTCAAAAGCATGGTTTGCATAAAGTTGTGGGAAGTTTTGTAGATGTCTTCTTGTACAGAATGATAGTAGGGAGTCTTCAATATTTGATCCTCACCAAGACTTGATATTACTCATGTTATGAATTTAGCAAACTAGTTTGTATGAAACCCAAACGTTGAACATCTTCAAGGGGTAAAATGATTCTCAGGTACATCAAAGCTACTCTACACTTTGGAGTCAAAATTATTTCGCAATAGCTATGCAGGTTGTATGGATACTCTGATGCTGATTGAGGAGGTTGTACCACCACTTGGAGATCAAATATAGGCTATAACATCTACTTAGGTGAAAATTGTATTTCTTGGACCTCTAAGAAACAAACCACAGTAACCCGATCGAGTGTTAGAGTTGAGTGTAGAGCACTAGATGTATCTTTTTCATGACTTTGGAGTGTTCCTTTGATCTGTTACACCGTTGTATTGTGATTATATGAGTGCCTTGTACATGATGATTAATTAAGTTATGTATGCTCGGACCAAACATGTTGAAATGGACAATCAATTTGTTTTTGAGAAGGTGGTCAGTGGACAACTTCTTACTCATTTTGTGAAGTCTACAGATCAACTTGGTGATATTCGTACCAAAGCTTTAACAAAACAGGTTTTTTCTGGGTTTCACAACAAGCTAGGAGTTACAACTCCTCCAATCACTTATTTGAGGGGAATTGTTGGAGGAGGAAGCATGATGAAACATGTCAAAGGAACAGGTCAATTGGAGATGATTGACAAGTTAGAGTCATATTAGCATTGGACTACTGAATCCTAAATTATGTAGGACTATGCTATTGTATCGTGTAAGAGGCCAAAGTCGACTAGGATAAGGAATTTGAGTTATTGTATAATATTACTCATGTAATAGTATATCTGTGTTGTAGTAAGAAACCTAGTACAGCTAGAATATGACTCTTCTCCTATATAAGGAGCTTGTAAGTCAATATTATCTTCATCAACACAATCATTGATTTTTCTATACTTAACGTGAGAACTACAGAGAGTACAAGCTAATGAGTCAAACAATTATCGACGAAGTGAACGAATTAATTTAAGTTCATGTTGATTGATGTTAATTGTTTAAAAGATGTTAATCATATTTATTTGCAATACAATCTGTTGAATGATGTTGTATAAAAAAAATTTATTTAATAATATGAAGATATGAGTGGTTTAATTTAAATTTTTTTGAAATATATCTAATGTAAAGAGTAAATTTTTTTAATTTAATCAAAGTTTTACATTTTTAAGAAATTTTTTTTTCTTAAAGTTCATTATTAATGGGCCCTCAAAATTTTTGGAGGCCTAGAGCAAAAGCTTCTTTAATTTTCTTTTATAGTCATTCTTATCCCGTAAATTGTGACATCACTGAAAAAAATAGTAAAAATTTAAAGAATCCCATAGTTTAATTCAATAATTTCATTTTGTCCCGACAAATTTAGTATTTACAAAAAAATTCCTTAAATTTGTTGAGCCGTGATACTTTAGACTCTAGTGATACATGGTAAATGATACATGGTAATTTTAAACTGTTGAGAAAAAAAGGGGAAAA